TCTCTCCCTGGCTGCAGCTGAAGTGTGGCGGTCAGAAAGCCTCACACTGTTGCTCAACGTTCCACAAGCACATAGTAACGCACAACCTTCCATCCCCAGTAACGGGAATGGCGTTGCAACAGTGGGAAAAGTAATTAATTAGATTATTCCATTACCTATAAAAGAACGCCGTTATACTTAAACGCCGTTATTCCCAACACTGCTTGTAAGCAAGGCGCCTGGCCTCGCAAGACATCGCCTCGCAAGGCAAGGTGCCTTGACATTGAGAAACACCCAATGACTGAGTGACGTGAACGGGAGGTGATTTCCGTATATAGTAGCGGTTGGTGACATAAGTGGGGAATGATGGGAATCCCGGCAAGGGGCTGCTGGGAGTTGTGGTCCTAGGTGGATGCCGGTTAGCTGGAAGAGGATGGCCTGGAGGCTGAGACCCTGACACTTTGGTGTTGCGGCTCCCCTGTTCTACCACTAGATGCTGTTCGTACGCATGGTCAGGGCTGTTCTTTTATTTAGGAACATTTCTACACACAAATTGGTACAAATTGGCATATACAACAAAATGCTTAAAATCGGTCCTATGCATGAAATAAGCACATATCTGTTAGTAAGTATGGTTAATAAATGAGGGCCCAGGGTTGGGAAACATGGACTTAACATGGAGGCACTGCCTCTGATATTTGCTGATGATACATGTTTTATATTCTCACATTTATATATAGATGATCTGGTATAAGAAGCAAATGTAGAGTTGTCTAATAATTCAGATTGGTTCAAAGTTAATTAAATGTCACTAATATAAAAAAACTATTATTTTTTTAACAAAAAACAAAAGTTATAGTACAGAACACGATTATTTGTTTATTGAGAATATCAATATTGCCCTAGTGCCATGATTTCAATCAGTAGGTAAATAACAGCCCCTCCCTGGGCTGCCAACTTACCGTGGTGGAAGGGTTCAAGGGTCCCAATGATTACGCAAAGCCCAAAGAGGAAACATGGGTCCCCCTTCCCATAAGGCTCCCCACTCGTGAGAGGGGCCAAAGAGGTCAGGTGCAGTGTGTGACAGGTGGTAGCCAAAAGCAAGGACCTTGTCAGTCTCAGCTAGAGAAGCTTGCTTTTGGCACGTAGAATGTCACCTCTCTTGTTGGGAAGGAGGGTGTGCGTTGGTGTGTGAGGTTGAGAGGTTCTGACTAGATATAGTCTAACTCACCCATTGACATATATACTGGACAATTCATGCCCATAGGCTCGAATTATACATTATTTTCCCAAATGGGAGGTTCCCACCACTGCCATTTTGACTGTGTCACAAGTCCTGTCATGCCCAGACAATCTTAAACTGGGAAAAGAGGTGGAGCTGAGGGTGGGGCTTTTACGTTTGGAACAGGGTTGGAACAAATGAACCAGTGTAGCTACTAGCTAACTTAGCTAACCCAAGAAGCTAAGAAGGGTTCTTTGGACCGGGGTATCCAAACCGCATGGCAGACTGGCTCCCGTGTGAGGCTGTAGTCATGCTGGTCACCTGTGGAGATCTAATTTGGACTGGCACAGTTAAATTACAAGCGGAGCCTCAGACTGCTGCGATTGTAGCCGGTCGCTGTGGCCTTTTACATCAGCTCTTGCTCCATGGTCAGAGATACGTGGGACACTGTCTACATACCATCCTGAAGCTAACAAATGTTTTCACGGCATTTTCAGCAAGAAAAACGCAGTAGAGCAACTCCATAGTAAAGGCACCTCCGGCCTGCTTAGCAACAAAATCATAACTACGTCAGCCGACCAAAGAAATTGGGCTTCACTTGTCCACAAAAAAGATCTGCATGTCCGCCATCGTTGATGCTCCTTTCTGCGGGGCAGCTGGAGATCAGCAGGACAGTAGCAACATACTAACCCGAAGCTAACAAAGAAACTGCTTGGATGGTCTGCTAGTAACCACAGCTTACCCTTTTGTCTGACTAATTTCATTAGATTAACATCCAAACACGAACTTACAGACAAAACTAACGTTCAGAGAGTTGAAATGGCCGAACATCTATTAACGTGAGGCTGAAGCTGAGGCCTTTCCCCGGAGCAAGTTCTGAGGTCACGTAGATGCTCATTAATTATTCAGATTTTCAAGCATTAAATTCCACTTGAACAGAAGAGTTACAAAAAATGCACGCCACTCAGAGTTGTCATGAATGTAAACTAAATCTATTAAACCTAAAATGGTTTTTTTGAACCAGGCTGTAAACATGTTCATTTCTGCTGTGAAATTGGCATTTTTAACATGGGAGTCAATGAGGATTTGCTAACTTCAGCTGTCAGCCCCTAGCGGATGAGAGCGGAACTGCATTTTTGCCACTTCTGTGTTGGTTTCAAATTTATTGGAGAATTATAGTGACTTGGACTCACCATGGCTCTGGCTGCGGAACCAGTTTCCTTGAGAGGGGTTGGACACTCTACCACTCTGGAGTTGCTCCCACTGAGAGGCGCCGAGCAGGGATGGGCTTACTAGTAGGGTGACCAGATGTTGCGCTTTGTGCGGGACAGTCCCGCATTTTCATTACTTTTCGCATGTCCCGCAATTGAGACTCGTGTCCCGCATTACTGACAGTTTCCCATTTCGAGTTTCAATCTTATAGAAGAAACTGTGGAGAAATCTGCCTGTTGCTGTCAGTCAAACAGTGGCGGGACTTTATCGCAGATCCGGAACGTGTGTGGAGCGCGCCCAAACCACCAAAACAAGCGTGAGTGAGCACGGAGGAGAAAATGCTGTGAACTCGTGAATTAAACGTGTTCAGAGATACTCGACAGGGTCTTTGTTGTTTCTGAGTCATTTTTCATGTCTCGTGCGGAGTCTGATATGAAAAGGTGAAAAGCAGGTTTTCCAGTAATTAGACAGGTCCATGATAAACACAATGGAGGCTCTAACACAGACAAGGTGCTGCGGTTTCAGATACCGGCGTACATGCTGAGCCCCTTAAAGCACAGTGAAGAAATAATGAGAATAAATGGAAGCTTTCATCACTTATTCTCTGAAAGTTGAAGCAAAAACTAACTCTAAGAAACTATTAGATTAGATCTGAATTTTTTAGAGACTAGAATTTCATGTTTATTCTCTCACCTAAAATTAGAAGAGATTTGCTGTCATGTTAAAAAAAATTGTTTCTGAATTATGAAAAAATAGCAAGAAAGTGTAAATATTTTTCAAAGAGTTGATGATTTTTGTGGAAAATTAATTAAAAGCAAGCATAAATAGATCTAAAAATATATTACTGGTACTTTTACTGTCATTCGGTTGTGGAAAACATTCAGTGAAAACTCTGAAAAGCTGCTTAAAACTGCATTTTTTTTAATATTGTGGTCATCATTTTATTTTTAAAATGATCAGAGCCACTACAGAAGGCCCAAAGAAACTGAGTTATGGTAACGTGAGAGGAACAGTGAAATAGTAAAGCTTTTGCTAAATGCTTGTTCATGCTGAGTTCAAATAAAATATATACAAGAAATATATGATGATAATAAGAATATTAATTAGATGTATATGTAACGGTGATGTTAGGGCTAAAAGGCAGAATATACGTTTTGTTTGTTTGTCTTTTTCCCATTACATTAGAACTTCACGTTGTCCCACATTGAGTATCTGGTCACCCTACATACTAGTTGCCCCCCATCTTGGTGCCTGTACGTTGGGGTTTACCCCCATGAACGAGAGGGTAGCCTCCCTCCGTGTAAGTGTGGGGGGATGGGTCCTTACTGTAGTTTGTGCTTATGCATGAAACTACAGTTCAGACTACCCACCATTTTCAGAGTCCTTGGAGAGCGCTCCTTCTGGTGACTCCCTCGTTCTGCTGGGGGACTTTAACTTTCACGTGGTCATCAACAGTGAGACCTGAAGAGGAGTGGTTGGGTGGAACGGCCCCCCTTATCTGAATTTGAGCAGTGTTTTTTTTTTTCATTGGACTTCTGTGCTTGTCATTGATTGTCCATAATGAACACCATGTTCAGCTGTCCATGTGTGCTCTTGGTACCAAGATACCTTAGGTAGCAGTTTGATGATCGACTTTGTTGTCATTTCGTCTGATCTGCAGCTGCATGTCTTGGACACTTGGGTGAAGAGAGGGGCGGAGCTGTCAACTGACAACTACCTGGTAGTGAATTGACTTCGAGGATGCTGGTCACAACAGGCAGGTCCAAACGTATTGTGAGGGTCTGCCGGGAACATGTGGTAATGTCTCTTGTTGGAAGGAACTTCAATTCCCAGCTTCGATAAAACTTCCAAAATGTTCCTGGGGTGGGGGATGGGGGGCATTGAGTTCAAATGGGCACTGTTCGATGCCTCCGATGTTGAGGAGGCCTGGCCTGGCAGACCGACAGATTGGCACTGAGGCAGTGATTGAAAGTACCAACCCTAACCATTCAATTTTTAAAGGGGCAACGGTGATGAATTTACAGGAAGCAGCGTCCTGACCAATAACAAGCTTGCAGTCTCTGTCACTTTCGACAGATTAAAATTTTAGGCATGCCTCTGTCATCCTCGGTGAGCCTGTTGGAGAGCCTTTGTACCACTACGTGTCAGTACCGACACAGATGGAGAAATAAAAATTGGGCTTTAATCAAGTGTGTTGGAGCAGAGAAACAACTAAAATGTGATGGATACCAGTCCTCCAGAACCAGGATTAAAAACCACCAAACTAGACTCAGCGGCAAGAAGAAAGAGCAAACACAGAGACTGCTACAGCTGGAGGATTTCCTGTCTACCACAGTTACTAAAAGAAAGGGCGGAGGAGGACTTTTATTAAGGAGGCTAGCGGCTCTGAGCCGTAACATGTCAAATTGGCAGGTGAGAGGCTGAGCCAGCTGGAGGTGAAAAATGTTGTATTAGGTGTTACTTGCGCTTTAAGGGTAAAGGTTAGTTCAGGGTTTGTTACCACGCTGATGATTTTACAGCGGTTTCTAACCTGAAAACATCCCTCTACTCACATACAGTACCCCCAAGCTCACACAGATGATTGTACCTCTCTGATACGAGGCTGCCAGATATGAGAGGTGTTCAGGGGAAGACTCCAGTTTCCATAAATCTCATCTAGAGATAATAAAGAAGCCATGTTGTTTAGTTACAAAGACAAAATGTGATCAAAACTAAAAAGAGTTACCTTCATTGGGACACTTCCAACGATCCAGACCAAGGATCGCCTGAGCAGGAATCAGGAAAGCAAATGCACTGGCCTGAAACAGAGGAAGTCTGGAAACACATTCACACTTGTCAGCCTTGTTTGACACTCTCAGGGGTTTTACACCAAACTATTTCCAGAGCTAGTTCGTTGCTGGTGCCAGAGCTAGTGCTTTACTGGTTCTGAACTGGTTTCTTCAAGAACCGATTCCTTTTACAGACTTCAGGCTTTGTCAATGCTGTCATTGCATCATCAAAAATATTAAGACAAAGATGTATACACCCACAAAGCATGTCATCCTTGATTTCTGATTCACAACATATAAAATTAAACTGTAGGAACTGTAAATAAAAATAATTATCATCTCACTCTGCGAGAGGTCCTTCCAAGCTCTCTCTACCAGAGACCTATGAGCTTGAGGGTTCTGTGCAGTATCTTAACTGCACTTTTATGGACTGAGATGACTGATTTTTTTCCTGGGATCTGATTTAGTCACTCCTCCATTTTAAGGGTTACGGCCCCGAGTGCCCCAATGACTATGGGCACCACCAATGCCCTAAATGTTGGGAAAATTCGGCCGCAAATGGTTACTGGCAGTCCAAGTGGAATGTGGCTCAGGTGGTCGCGGAGGTAAATACCCGGGAGTTGGAGGAGTTTGGTGAGACCATGTAGAAAGATATTCGTATGGTTTTGATGAGATTCTGGTCCACCATCCTGAGCCTCAGGAGGGGTGTTATGCTACCAACACTGTTTATGCTGGGGATGGTGTGCTGCTGACCTTGACTTGGGATGTTGTCGATCAATGGGCAGAGTACTTTGGAGACCTCCTCAATCCCACAGGTACAACTTGCAGTGAGGAAGTAGAGTCCAGGGACTTTGGGTTGGGCTCTCCAATCTGTGGTGCTGAGGTCACTGAAGTAGTCAAAAAGCTCCTCTATGGCAAGGCTCCAGGGGTGGATCAGATCTGCCTGGAGTTCCTTAAGGCTCTGGATGTTGTAGGGATGTGTTGGCTGACGTGGTTCTGCAATATCACATGGACATTGGGGGTATTTCAAATAGATATATAATAAACCAAAGAAGTGCAGTTGGTTTTTTGGATCATATTGGTCCTCCTGAATCCAAGGTTCGACTATCTAATTGACCCCTTCTCCAGAAGCCCTGAATAGACCTTACCACAGAGGAAGCGTGATCCCCCTGTAAATGGAACACACCGTGCAGTCCCACTTTTCATCACCACATCCCTCACCGATGGTGTCCCACAAGGTTCTGTGCCAGGGCCCTACTGTTCCTCCTCTATCTGTGTCCTCTTCAGCACATCCTTAGCTCCTTAACCCTCGGGGGTCCAGGGTGTAATTTGCCGTTTTTGGCTCATTTTGGTTTTACTTTTGTATTTTCTAAGAAAAACAATAAATATTGCCTTATGGGGTATCATTTTTTTCAGGACAACCTGGACTATCTGAATGTATACTTATTTTATTAATTTGGCAACAATGTACATGCATTTAGGAGTGGGGCGTGGCTGTCTCACGCCGCGGAGATCGAGATCTGATAGCTGCGCGGTGCTGCCCACTCCTCTTGTTGGATCTCCGAGGAGCTGCATCTCTGCCTTCATCCTCTACCTCATCATGACCCAACTCTTCTATGAGGAAGGATGGATCTGCCACATCGTCATCAACATCCTCGCTATTTGCCTCAGACTCCGGCTGCGAGTCTCGGTCCACTTCCTCTGCTTCCAGTTCAAAAAACAGCCGTACTATCTGAACTGCCTGGTGAACATTTATCCTTCTCATCATCCTTTATATAAGCCTAATAAATGCCTACTAAACTGCAGAGACAATGTATCTGTCCGGATCACTCCAAAATATGAAGTTTACCATCAATATCTGTCTAATTGTTTGTTGTTACTCCATTCGCGCCACTCCTTTCCCCGCGAAGCGGCTCCTTTTTGCGCACATCTTGTTACTCGTGCAGCCTTCCTCTCTCTCTCAGCTACATAATGATACTTTTTATCAATTGAATATGTGAGACTTCCACCAACAGCAAAAGGATCTCATGTTTTTGTGGGGTTTTATGTTCACAAGCTCATTCCCTCTCACGGATTACTAAACTGCTGTTTTGACAAGTTATCAGATTGTCTAAAAATAGGTAGTTTTTTTTTAGTTTAGTATAACTCCGCTTTTACGTTGCCTATAAAAGAAATTTAAAAAATGGGTTGTAGTTTATAATCTCCTTTTTAAAGCTGAATTGAAACCGAAACTCAGGGAGGCGGAGTCTTGCTGCCACAACGTCCCAAATCAGACCTGTTCAAAAGACGCGGATACACGTCCATGGACCCCAGAGGGTTAAAGGATTCTCCTACCATTTTTACGCAGATGACATACAACTATACATCTCCTTTAAGACCCATGAGATGTCTAAGCTGCAGCTGTTACACTCCTGCTTAGACTCTATGAAAACCTGGATCGTGGGAACTTTCTACACCTGAATGAAGAGAAGACTGAGATCCTCATCTCAGCCCCAGACAAGTTGGTTCCCAAAGTTAAAGACTCTCTTGGTCAGCTTGCTTCTCACACCAAACCCTCTGTCAGGAATCTTGGTGTGACCTTTGACCCAGCTCTCACCCTGGATTCTCATGTCAGTTCTCTTGTTTGCTCTTCCTTCTTCCATCTCAGGAACATTGCTAAGCTGAGTCCCATTCTGTCCCTCTCTGAACTTGAGACAGTTCTCCACACCTTCATCTCCTCACACTTAAGCTTGGTTTATGCTTGACGCATTCACTTTCCGCTTGGTGATGCGGCTCACGGATGGAACGCGCTTCACAACTTGCAGCGTTTATGGTTCATGCGGCTCGTCTCTGCGGTGAGCCAATATTCTCCCAAACTGTGGGGGGCAGCATGGAGCTATACACGGCATGCATCCAACACTACACCATAGTAGAAGTAAAAACTGTTGTTTACAACATGGCATTCCAGCATTTTTAACAGCGTCCTCGTCTTTTCCGACAGTGCGAGCTATTTCGCTCCAAGAATTATTAACAACATGTTGATCACGGTGATCTCTGAGAGCTGAATCATACAAATGTCTCTATTTACGAACCTCTGCCATACTAGTTCTTGCCGGTACGCCATGTTTTTCCACGTCCGACCGTCCGCGTGGTTAGAAAATTTCCTAGGTGCGCGTTGCGGAAATTTTGGGCCGTGCGGAGACGCGGTGGAGGGGCGTGGTTGTTAAAATGACGCAACTTTTCCACGCGGAGCCGTGCGGACCTCGCGGACGCGTCAAGCATAAACCAACCTTTAGACTACTGCAACTCTCTTTTTACGTGTCTGAGCAAAACCTCCCTGAACCATCTACAGGTGGTTCAGAACGCCTGTGCTCAGCTTCTGACCAAGTCCTCCAAACACACCCACATCACCCCACTTCTCCTCCAGCTCAATTGGCTGCCAGTCAACTTCAGGGTTCATTTCAAGATCCTGGTTCTGGTCTATAGGGCCTTACATTGACAAGCACCATCATACATTGGTGATTTTCGTAGTCCCTACACCCCCAGCAGGTCCCTGAGGTCCAGTGACCAAAGCTTGCTGGTTGTGCAGCACCAGGCTAAAGGTCAAAGCTGACCGATCATCTGCTGCTGTGGCCCCCAGACTCTGGACCTCTCTCCCCCTGAGCCTGAGATCAGTGGACTCAGTGATCTAAATCAAAAAGCAGCTGAAAACTCATCTGTTTAAGCTAGCTTTTGTGTAGCCTTCGTCACCACCCTTTCCTTATTCTGCCCTTTATTCCGCCTTTCTCACGATCTACTAATTTCACTATTTCCTATTCATTTACTCTCTCTCTTTAATTGCATAATTGTTTTCATCACAATTTTTCTTTTTAAACATGTTTTTATTCATTTTTTTAAATCTTTTTTTTATACTTTTTTATGTGAGAGGGAGGCAAAACAACCAGGGCTGCGTAACAAGCATTCCACTCGATACACACTGCAATCTTCATGCAAACAAAGCAAAATAAAAACATGCACGATTATTTACACCAACTGCTAATATGGCTGCTCCCCTTCACGTATGCGGCTTTCCACAGCCGACCTTCTAGCCGTTACAGACCCTCTTTATAAAAGTAACTCACAGTGAAAATGTTAGGAGTTTCATAAAATAAGGAAATATAAGTCTAATTAAATAATTAACTGAACTAAAATGCTTTCTGTTCAAAGGAAGCAAATGATTATTAAACTGCTGATTTTCTTCCTTTTCAATTCATCAGCACACGCTTACCTGTTATGTCTCATGAGAAGGGCTCACAGATTGATCAATGCACATTTACACACACACACACACACACACACACACACACACACACACACACACACACACACACACACACACACACACACACACACACACACACACACACACAGAGCATACAGCCCTAGCCTTTCAAAACAACGATATGAAAACTAAAAGAATCCCTTACCCGTAAAATATAATCCTCCATGCACCCAGTATACAGCTCCGACACGCTGCCCCACCTGTCTCTCAGGACGCCAGGTAAGTGCTCTTGCGCAGCTGGACACAATTGGAGCTTTTAAAGAGCCGGCATAATTACACGGGGAGGAGGAGCGCAGCACTGGCAGCGCTCTTTTACATAGTGAACAAATGGCTATCTGTCAAACTAGCATCACGATATTGTACAGATTACTATCGTGTACCAGACAGTTAACATAGTATCGATCAGTTAATATAATATTAATACTAATGAGCGTCTGTCAGCTGTCTCATAGTCGTTAATATCCGTTCACCTAACGTAGTTTAGCTTTGAAAGAGAAAGAGAGAGAGAGACGCCTGTCCTCCGGTTCTGGAGCTCATGCGGGCTTCTGTGAGCTGGATCCGACCCAGACACCAGCAAACCAGTATATTTGGGATTTTTAAAAGCTTCCTGGGTTTCATCCTGAGGAAATATGGCCTGGGCTATCATATTTATGCAGATGATTGCCAGATCTACCTGGCTTTGAACAAACCAGGCTCCCTCTCTCTTCTGGACCAATGTTTGGCTGGAGTGAGGGTTTGGCTTGCCA